TTTCTGATTTTTATTTTATAATTCTTATATATAGAAGTAAATTTTCTGTTCACCTTTCTTCATTCTTATCGCATCAAGTCTTACACCCTTTACAGATACATAGGCTAAAATGTCAAGCCAAAAATACGTTTTTGAGCATGCAGTAAGAGATTGCTGACACCGGTCGAAAGTAAAACGACTGGACGATTCATCCCCTTGGTATCAGTAAGTGGATCGTGCGACCTTGACACAATTTTTCCTGGTTGCAGGGTCGAGGACTCGCGGGACGGTCGTTGCATTTTCCGACGTCTGTCGAGGCTGCCCGGTGTCGAAGCTTTACAAAGGAGGGAGAAAATATCGCGCCGCGGAACAGAGAAAACGGATGAGGATTGTCGAAAGTTGGAGGAAGAAGAAATGAGAAGGAAGTAAGGAAGGGAGTGGAGCTCGGTCCGTTTATCGAACGGAACGGAGCACGTGCGAGCGAGTGGAGTGGAGCAGAGAGAACGCGGAAAGGGAGCGAGAGAGAGGGAGAGAAAAATGGCCCCCACTCATGGGTACGAGGAAATAGAGGGGCGCTATAAAGAGTATGCCTATAGCCCTGTATCAGCGAGTTCAACTTCAGCGGTGTACCATTCAACCACCCTTGGAACATATCCCAAAGAGAACGGTGCCGGTACATCAAACTGTCGTATTAACGTTAACAACAGTGTCCAAAAGAAACGTCGCGTTGCAGAGATGGCGGAGAAAGGGTCGACGCTGCCGCAGTACATCGCTGCCGCTACAGGTAGGTTTACAACCCCTCGTGTCAGTTCGGTTTCTTCCGGGGGTAAATCTAACCGCCGCCATTCACTATGCACTCGCGCGCCAGTTGCCGGATTCGAATAGCTCTTCCACCCCAAACAGGATATTCGAATTCAAAGATAAATTTACATGTCTGGTTCGACTAAACAATATGACAGAATCAACATAGTTCTGAGAGAATTGTGTGAATGAATCTTTTTGACCGTTGAAAAATCTTTCTGACTCGAGTTCCTTGGTTCATGCAAAGTAACAGCACGTTTTCGACTTGGCTTGAGGTATCAAATGGTATACAAGCCAAATTAATTAAGTTGTCGAATTACTTGTATTCAAGCGTCTCGAAGTCAGGCAAACGAAGTGTTGACAATCATGATACGCGTTTTAGGAAATAGACTTAAGTCATTTGCATTATTAGTATATAAGGCTGTTGAATTTCAACACTTGGTGATTATTATACGATTACATACATTCCATTAGCACAGAGGAATTATTAGATGTCAGAAATTCCATGATACAGATGTAATTGCTGTATTAATATTTATGTTGATCATTATATGAATCTGCAGCATGTTTTTACGTTTCAGACTATGGGTATAGTTAATATTCCCTAAACGTAGACGTAAACTTACGTATTACAACTGAATTAGAATGCTACTCCTGTTACTGATTTAACAGTACCATCTGATCTCTTCTCAGACATTATGAATGAATTCGTGCGAATGGTTCATAAATAATTATTTTCTCTATCATTGATAATTATCGTGATTCGATAGTATGGCACGGATTAGATAAATAAAACAGAAAAATTGTAGATACGAATTTCTCAGAAATTCTTTTTTGCAAATGAACAATTTGAATTTTGATCGAAGATATATCAAAGATAATTTTTATCAATGATTAAATTATGGAATTTTACATGTATGAACGGACGCATTTCTCTGACCAGTTTTGAAAGGAGTAACAGAGCTGTGATTTCGAAAGAGTCGCAGTTGGTTGACACAGCATAAAAGAGTTCATTAATTTAAGAAATTGCGATAACGAATCCGGATAATACGCGCTAGCTTTTTATCACTTGTTCTTTAATACAAAACGACTGACGTTAAACGGGGAAATTAATTTGTAATTTATTTATAATGCGGTACACATCACGTGTATCTCGAGACTCGACGTGACCGCGTCGCCACGTGACTGACAATGAGAAAATTCGACCGATTCTTTCAATAAAAAATCATTTCGCGCTGACGAAACTGTCTTACGTTTACAAAATGAAAACTCACACCTGTGGCATAACGAGGATGTTATCGACGGTGATTATCTATATTTAAGATATTAATCCGTAATCTCTCACGTTCAATCATAACAATTGCGTAGAATGAAAAGAATAAGAAAAAACATAAATTAGCGAGTGAAGAAAAAGCGTGAACAAAAGTTCACGAATGTGTCAGTTACCTGGTTTAGTTTCACTTCAATTAGTTCAGATGATTAGTTTAATTAGTCGGTTCGTAATACGATTAGGAAGATGTAAACAGGCCGGCAAACGAGAGTGCGATTGTCGTTGCGTGCAGAGTAAAATGATTTTGACTCATAAACGCACTGCTAACTAGACTTACGTACATTGTACGGTCTCTCCTTGGTTGTATATCAGCGATAGGTCTAATTTAAGTATTAGGTATTTGCCTGTCATAAATCATACTCTTACTTTATTTTTAACTTCGAAATGCAACGACGGTGTTCAACTAAATGATTCCTTTTTCACTTTTACGAGCGAAAAAAGTGAGTCAATTCTTTTGTTTGCTGTTTATCCTTTTTCAGTGGACGATTACTTTAAATTAAGAATACAGTTATAGCTGTTATTAACATTTCAGAATCAACTTGAATATTCTCTGTGTAAGTAGAAAATTTATGTATCTTTTGAGATACCTCAGAAACTTATGAATTAATATTTAACGTCAAAGTCCATTTCAAAGCGTCAAGTTACATACAGGCTGATGTATCTTTGGAAAGTTAAGAGAATTTGGAGCGTTTGAGTTCGCTTTTGCGTGTGGAACTTTGTTCACAAAGCATGAATGCAAGGCTCCTGAGAATCTTCAGCCTAACATCGAGTTTTCCCTCGAAGGTGACAAATCGTGTTAATGTACTCTTTGATGGAACACAGAATGCCCTCGATAAATTCTAAGAGTTTCAAAGATGTTCCTACAGACTATTTATCCAAAAATGGCTATTACAATTTTCTTTTTGTATTCAATCATTTATACAGTAAAGACGCTCAGAATGTCTTTAAGACATTTGACGAAGTTTCTCCTCTAAACTTAAATTCTTTTCATCCCTTGAGTTATCAGCTGAGGTATTTCGAAGAAAGTTTTTTATACTGTAAAAAATGAATTTATTGAAAGTTTTATAAATGATCTTATTAATATTTAAGAATCTTGAAGTTGAAAACAAATCTTTTCTATTCTTCGAATGTTCAAAGCCCACAGTGTGAAAGTTTCGAGTTCGCACTGTGCATATCGTCGGTTTCGTTCATCGGAATTATCAGACTGCGTTGACTCGGTTAATGAGGATGTAGTTTGTTTGAGCCGGTTACGATTGGTCGCATCATAGCCGAGATTTAATTCAGTCGTACTTACTTGTTGTGTGCGCCGCGCCACGTCGGATACGAATCATTTAATATTCACCGCATTCGAGGACGACGGACCTTATGGTTCGCACGTAACGTCCTTCGCACAATTCATTTCACACGTCGTTTCCTAATCACTCCCTAGTTAATTGTTTCATTATAATACATGCATTATTAATAGAAAGTAAATGCTATAATAATGTACTATTGCTCTGGAATACATAATTAAGTATTGATTACTTATTAGATTTCTGTTAGATTAAAACAATAAATTCATTCAGCTGAAAAACAGGTGTAAGTATACAAGGATATTATAATCACAAGGATTTCGTTATCTGATTAGTCTGGATTTTACAAAAAACTAGTTTTTGGGAAAATGGCCAGTTTTCGAAGTTTGAGAGATGATTTATATAAACAAGTTCTCTCTGGTTAACATCGTTCAATTTTTATCATCTATATCTACACAAGCTGTACAAACTTGTTGAACGTCATGGGAAAATTTTGGGTGATGGTTATCAATGTTGAAGAGGATGCGTGGATTTGTCATCGAGCATCCTCGTTCTACCGGTATTCTATGAAAAATTGAGTGTATCGATTCAACAAAAACGTATTCCACAGGAAATATGATTGCTCGCTCACTTTGCCCTCGAAACTGATACTAGACAATTTTTCTTTTTTCGTTTTCAAACTCCCCATTGATTTCATACGATACGTTGTCATGACAAATCCAATTTATGAATTTCTACATATTTCCTCTGTATTTTATACAGAAGGGTAAATAGTTAAAGAGAAATTAAAGTTATGTCTGTAGTATTGTCATTTTCCATTTCATTTCCCGTTTTATATTTGAAAACGAAATGTGTATCCTTCGATTTAATGAAGTCGTTAAGAACGACGTCTTAAAACCGACTATTATTGCCTCTCATAACAGATTTGCATTATATCGCCTGTCGTTTCGCCTGTTCTGCATCGATAACGAAATTATATATAGTTGGTATACTCTTTGTTAACGAAATTGTTCGATTACGTCAAACGATAACTATGACTGTAGAATGTTTTCCATGTTTTCATTATCTTATCCAGAGCTCAAGAATTTTCGAGATAATGCACCGATTATCGCATGATTAGGTGACGTGGTGCGAAAAAATTAGTTTCTTTTAATTAACTTGACTACTCACTGTCGCCTACAACGAAGACTGACGTCGCAGTGAAAGTGTGACAAACCTATTGCGAGATGACGATTCATTTGAAATTGATGAGTGCGTCAGTCTGCTTGATAATCACGTAATTACAGGTATCTCAGTATCTAACAATAACGTAGTAATCTCCGTTAGGAAGTCGTTTTCCCCTTTGCGCAACGGGAATTTACCGATACGGTATAAATATGTACAATCGTGGTTATTAACAATATACATTTTCTTTCTGCTGATTAGAATTTGACAAGGCATTATTCGGTTCAACTTAAATAATAGCAATATCATTTATGAAACAAAAATTCATGATGATTAGCTGAACAGATTGACCGATTTACAGGAAGTAGGATGAGATGATCTACAATCTAGAATATGCAAGGATTGAATGTTATTGGTTGACTGCAGATCTTTATGCAAATAAAAAATTTATTGTTTTATAATTATAAGATATATGTTAGATAAACATTTGTGATTATTTAAACATTGAAATATCCATTCAGCCTTTGATATTCTGAATTAATTATTTCAGACATAATACGTTACAAGATTTTTGTACTGATATTAAAAATTTTAATAACATTTTTCTTCACAATTTCGTAAAATTGAAAGGTAACACGAGAGCTACGTTCGATCACTTTCGGTAAATCAAAAGAATACTGACGCGAGCCACATACATACATATAGCGAATAATGTAAGAAATACTTGCCTGGTTCGTCTCTCCTGTCGGTCCAACCTTCCCGAAACTACCCCTATCATTTCTGCATATTTAATTATAATTGTATAAAATCCGCAATCTGGTTATTTGATTGCTAATCGAATTAAATGAAGAGACCTAATTAAGACCGATTTGGAATATGATAAATCATATTAAATGCAGTTATTTATTAATGAAGTTTGAATTTGCTTTGAAAATTTATCGATGATGTTCTAACCACGAGAGTCCTCGAACTTAATTCAAGTTTAATTCCAATTCTAGACGTGAACTTTCAAATACCTGGTAAATCATTGCGTATCGTAACTTTGGTGGTAATTTAGGCTTCGTAGTTGACGGTATTAAAATTTTAACCACAGAAAACTTGTTTCCAATCGAAAAAGAATCTTAAAACGGTTTCGTGAGTAGAAGGAAAAATGGACAAGTTCCAAAGTTTGACTACTGTAGATAATCGATTAAGTTT